TTTTTTTCAGTCTGGCGAGTAAAAAAAAATTGTACTAGCCAATGGCGATTCAATTGCCAAAGTGTTCGTAGAGGGCTGATAATACACAACACAATGCTATTAGTGAAGATAACAAAAGCTAACAACACAACAAAATCACGAAGACAGAATTCCAGAAAACAGTACAACGCTTCCAGTAGTCTGCAATGTTAACGTTTTACACGTAATGCAATGACATATTTTTGACAAAATGATATCCAATCACATGTGATTCAAATTAATTACTTAATGTATGTACTATTATAGTATTTATTGATATTTTTAAGTAGCTTTTTATTACATTTTCAGGTTACATTTTTTAGGTATTAGTAATTTTGTAATGTGCTTTTGTCATTTATATTACAGCATTTATTAATATTTTGAATTACCTTTTATTATTATATTTTTAGTTGATTTTAGTACTTCGACTTATTTTCAGTTATTTGCCAAGGCAACAAGTTTTTTAAGCTTTTTAAAGCATTTGTTCATTGGCACCGATTTCTGTTTCAAGATTAATATTCTCCATATCGGTCGACTCCGTGCAGCATTCTTCCATGAGGTGTCCAGCTAGTATAGCGCTTTCGTGAAGGGACTGATTTTTCCTTTTTTTGCCCATTATATCACGTCATAAGGTGCAAGTATTGCCAGAAAAAATATCGAAAAAGCATAAATTTTCAAAATTGTAACTTTACATACTCAAATTTCAGTTTGTTAGCTTCAAGCTCCTCGAACTACTTAGACGTGTATAAAACGTGACCATTCACACCGCTGCCATCTTGGCATTCCCTAGAACCCATTATAACCAGTGACACTGTCTACACTGGATGTGACGCAACATTAAACTGATGCCTTGTTCTATTTATGACGTACTGACACAAGTTAAAATTATTTGCAATGGTCGCTTTGTCGTGTCCAGTGTAGAGCTGTTGCTGCGTGACACGATAACTGTAGCGTCCGGTATAGACACGGTGAGTGAAGCCGAGAGCAAGATATGCCTCATCATATTTTCTGCATTTAGCTTTTAAATGACCAGCACCTGCCTGGGTCTGTGCGACTTCATCTATGGCTTTTCTCTTCGTTTTCACAAACCGATCCATCTCCCATTCTAAGTTACGTCCTTTGGCTGTTTACTGTTTTATTTATTTTCTTTTTCTGCTGATGGCAGAACTTGAAGCACTTGAAGCAGCGCTGCTTAGACCGATGGGTGTGTGTCATCAAAGTACTGAGAGCTATAAGAGAGCGTGGACGTCTCCTTATGCTTTCTCTCGCCATACTTTGATGTCATACACCGATCTGATCTTCAAGTCGAACACGCCTCTTTACTCTCGCCTGTCACGTGACCGTGTAATCGCAGCCTCTACGATTGGAAAATCGGTTATTTATTTATTTTTTGTGGGTTTCTTGCTGTCCGCTAAGGCATAGGACACACAGGCTTTCCTCACCAACGACATTAAACACGGTGTCTACACCGGACGCGAGCGGCAAAATACAGTAGAACCCATTATAACCAGTGACACTGTCTACACTGGAAGTGACGCAACATTAAACTGATGCCTTGTTCTACTTATTTACTGACACAAAGTTAAAATGATTTGCAACGGTCGCTTTGTCGCGTC